ACAGTGCAGCGTTGCTCCCTGGAGGCGACTGCGATTTCAGTTCCATTTTTGAGGCGGGCGTGTTGCGTCTTTTTGTGGAAGGCCACAAGCCCCCATTTTGAGATGTAATATGTTTGGCATGTATTCGACACAGCGGTGGAATACGGTAAAGCTTTTTAGCGCCAGGCAGGCAACAGAGCAGCAAAGCTACAAGCAAGGCTTTACATGTGGCCCGGCAGCCTGAACCTACCTGTGCAAACCCTGAACCTTGCCAAGCAAAACGCAACTGCCCGAGTTCACTGGTGGGTTCCTTTGATCTTGCCACTTTAGGCAAACAAAATGGGAACTGGAGGAGCTCCTGGCGTTTCTTTCTTGAAAATCCATTTGCCAATTCAAGTATTGGTTGCTGTTAACCTTTCTGCAAACAGCTTGTTGACTTTCTTTGGGTCCACCGGGAAATCCGACCTGCTTCAACCAGAGAAAAGACAAAGTCCATAAGAGCCGCTGCTAAACAGGTTCAGACAGTTTGTGAACTTGTGTGGTGCCGATGGAAAATCTGAGCTGCTTCAACCAAACATGAGAAAAAGCCCCAAAAGAGCCGCTACCAAACCAGCCATGAAGAAGAATCCCCCAGCTCGGAAGCCCCAAAACCTTGCAGCTCAAGGCACTTGATGACTCGCCGCGTGAAGGTGACGCCTCCCTTGATCGCCTTCTGGGTTGGGATCCGTGAGCAGCCCTGCGCGGGCCCGAAGGCCCGAAGCCCAAAGCCGAGCGCGGGAAACGTGGAGGTCGGATCCGAGGTGGCAGAACAAACCTAGTAGAGAGGTTAGAATAAGTTGGTACCCGATTTTTTCCTCTAGTCCCTTTTAGGGGAGCCCTCCCCCAAAAAAGGGGGAGAGAAGGGCACCTAGCTGGACCTGGGGACCGCGGGCGAAACAAACATGTTTGCAGAAACTTAGACCAGCCAATCTTTCAGGGTCAAGGCTTAAGCTCGCAGACCGTCAGTGGTTCCCTGACGTGATCTACTGTTGGGATTTTTCTCCTGAGGGTCCTCCACAGGAATCCGGAGCTACTTTGCCGCCAGCCTGAACCGGGTGCAAAATAGGGGGACTGTTTTCTCAGTGAACACTGACCAAAATACGCATCTTCTGTTGGCTCGCTTGGACTAAACCATGGGCTATTTTGAGCCCAGTAGAAGAAGGTAGGCAAAGGCAAAAGACCTTCATTCATGGGTGAGCTCATCTGCCCCCGCAATCGGTGAGCTCGCCGTAATTGGTGCAATACTTGCCCTGGCGCCGGCTCATGTTGCGCCATTTGCTTGCAACGGGCCGAGACATTTTACGTGCCGCATCTTCCGGCCGCATCGCATTCAAAGCTCTGCGGAGAGCCGGGAACGTGAACACCAACCTCAAACCCGAGAAAAAAAAAGAAAGAACAAAAACGGATCAGCAGCAGATCCCACGCCTGCCCCTTCTCCATTGGGCTGCTCATCGGGCTGCTGTTCATGGGGCTTCCCCGCTGCCGCAGCGTGCCCGGCGACATGGGTAAGGCCGACATGGCGAGCGCGGAATCGATCCAGCGAACGGCCCTGCGTTTGAAAAACCCGTCCCAGGCGCTGGATTCGCGCGTGAAAATCCAGGTAGGCCTTGAGCTGCTGAACAGTGCACGGCTACTTGGAAGAGATGCTGAAAACTGTTGGAAGTTTCTTGGGCTCGTGATGGTTCCGTGGTCGCAGAAAAAAAACGCCCTTGGGCACAAACTTGCGGACCTACGGGAGCTGCACAGCGCCGCGGCTAAGCAGAATCCGACGTATAACCCGGTGATGGATGTGATGGAATGATGCCCGAGATGCGGAACCTCAACTACCCTTCATTTACCCAGGATTTGCGGAGAAAATGGCGATGCTGTCTTGGGAAGTTGCCTTGGCATAACAATCTGACATGCCTGGCCGGTCAGACGTGAGATATGCCGCTCAAACATTGCACTGAAGACCCTTGCCGAATGAAACCCATTCTCGATTCCAGCTGGGAATATGGATCCCATTGGCCTCCGGATTGTGTCTGCGGGGAAGTGAAAAATCACCTTTTGCTCCCAGCAAGTTTAAATCATCCACCACAAAATAAATGCTTCAACATGGCTGGCATTAAACAAGACCAAAAGTAATTCAAAATGGCCCGCAGCAAAGGTTCGCATCCTTTCAGCTAAAGAACCAACAACGTGCGGCTCTGCCAATGGCGATGCATGTGATATTATACCAGCAAATGCGACAGACAATTCCAAACTCTGAAGTGGGGGATCCCCAAGCAAAGAACTTACATCATGGCGAGCTAACTTTACCCATGAATCTGTGAGCTCGCTATAAAACAGGTGAATGTATGTGTGGATCATCCTTAGGGTAAGCACACTAAAACGTCGATATGCAAACACCGTCTTGCAAACGCCAAGTAGCTGAGTTGATAAATTGTTTGACGGATTGACCGACCATGGAATCAATTCACGGAAATATTGACTGATTGGTTGATTGGTCAGTTGGTCAATCGATCGACCGATCGCTCGATTGAATCTGCCGCACGTTTGGTTGCAATTGATGTGAGTCCAGCCCGGAACTCCGCCCAAAGCACGCGACGTTTTCCCCCGACGGCTAATTCTGGCCATGCGCTGGCCAGGACATGACCAGGTTTCAAACAGAGTACAAACCTGTGGTACAAGTAAGTTGTCAAAAAACAGGGCTCCTGAAAGGATACATACGAAAAAGAAAGAAAGAAAGAAACAAAAAGCTTTACAAATGGATCCCCTAAATCAGCTGGCAAGGGAGGACTTGCAACAGGCCCAAATGCCCCCAGAAATGAAAAGGACAAATAGGCGATACACGCCAAAACACATTCAAGAACCGTGAAGGGCATGGAAGGCAACAAATTACTATCCTTTGAACCCCGCCCCATGTTTGGGCTCCATGCTTTTGGAGGAATTGGCAAACAAACTAAGATACCATGAGTACAGGTTTCCGTTTGGTGGCCCGGTGGGTAAATACCGTAAAATACATCCCCAGCTGGAATCTCCCAGTAAGGTTCGCTGAGCTCGGCTGCCTGGGAGATTGTTACGCAGCACGTTAGGGGGTCTAACATGACGCGGCGCAAGCCACCCAACCCAGTCATTGTTTTCGGGAAGTTAAAGGTAGAGGTGAATTGGTACGTCTTACGTGCTAACTCTGTATTGCGGATGTGGACACGATGCATGTGATGGCAGTCATGCTGCCTGTTCATGACAGTCGCCGGCCCCCAAAACCGAGCTCTCAAAGCAAGGAATCGATCTCTTTTTGGCAGGCGTGGTCTATGTTCTCCTTCGACCTTTGGACCTCATATCCCGGGTCGCAGCCTGCAAGGCTAGGTCCTGCTCAATTAAATGCGGCCGAATGGTTGAGGCAAACCACCCCAGGACCTCCACCAACCTGGATGTAAGCAACCATTTCGCCTCCGTTCGGCCATGTCTTGATGCTCGTCAATTGCGCCTGCGCATTTCGAGGGTCGAAGATCTCATGCCCAACTGCCTTCCGGCTTACCAAGCATGATCTCGGCCCTGCCGGCCAGCTGTAAGCGCGCTGAATTGGACGAACCAGCTGTCAGCAGCCATCTGTACACTGGAAGGATTCATGCACTTCTCTTGGGTGGCCCTAAATGGGTTCGAACAAAAATGGGAGTTCGAGGATGCTACGCACTGGATTGTCCTTGCAAGCGATCAGAACCCGTTTGTTAGAACCCATGAGATGGGTCCAGTAAATTCTCGGGCAAGGTTGGCAACGGCGCGAACAGTTCGCTTGAGGACCTTCCTTTGCTTCCAAGTTTGCAAAGCTAAAACACAAGGCCGTCGCTGCAAACGCCGAAGGATGCGATGACCAGTCAAATAGCACCCTGCGTAACAACATAACCGAAAGGAAACTCGAGATTCAACTGGCATTGAAACGATGCTGTCAAATTTAGGGGTCCTTCAATCTTAACAAACCATACTGGAGTTTGGCAACAAAGCGCCACCAACCGCCTGACGGCGTTGAGTCAAAGCGCGGGCCGGTCACAGCACAGCGCCTGATTTTTCGGGCTCCTCAAATGTCCAACTCGAAGCATCACCATCCAAAACACGTCGGCAACCGAATAGACGATGTTTGAGCCACCAGGAGAAACACACAATTTAAAGGCATAAAGACCCTTGAGCACGGAGCGGCAAGGATGCAAGGCAACATGCTGGATTCGTCATTCCAGAGTTTAGAAAGTTGCTTGACACATGGTCCATGTTCTTCAAACCTCCCTGGTTCTGAAACTCAAAATAATCCGCTACTTTAGGTTCGTGCTCTGACATGCTACAGGCCAGGATGCGCGTGACCTGTTCTGTAGTCACGTGGGCCATAGCTGCCACCTTCAAGCGACGACGGTAGGTTGGGGAACTCCACTTGAGAAGAGATGTTCACACCCTGCTGCCTTGCAGCCTCTAACCTTTAAACTTTAAATTAAACTGCCCAGTGACCTTGTAGAGAAAGAAACAACATTACGGCTTGCGTTGATACCAATGCGCCCGGTCACTTGCTTTGACATGTGGAAACAAAGAAGCTTGGATGTTGCATCAAACATGCGTACCAAACAGAAGAAGCGGCACGACGTCACATTCTGGAATCATATGGGCTTGTCTGACCAAACCCCCAAAAAAAAAAACAGCTTCGCCAACACACAGATTTTACTTTCCTTGTGGTTTCCAACTTGCCGCCCCCCCTTCACCCCCCCCCCCCCAACCCCGACCCATCGGCCTCCGTCGCCTCACAGGTCCTCCACCTCCGCGATCTCGTCCTCCGACTCCGCCGCCTTGGCGTTCTCCGCCGCGGCGAAGGCCGGGTCCCGGCGGATCATCGAGGTCCTGGGCCCAGTTCGAACCAACGGCTGGCCTCACATTTTTCAACGGTTCTATGTACTGGGTTCATGGGGGATATGGCAAGGCTGCATGAACCTGACCATAACCATGCCGAGAGAACAATGGGTTTGGGTGTTGCTCAGATGGCTTGGTAGGGAAGAGCAGGGGGGAGTGGGAGAGGAGCAGGTGGGAAGGGGGGATGTGAGGAACGGGGGGTGAGGACGGTGGAGTGGGGGAAGGTGGGTGGGGGAGAAGGGAGGTTGTTGTTTTTGCAGGGTGGGACTCCTCGCCGCCGTGCAACTGTCTTCACTTTTGGCACACCCGCTCATGCGTATCACGTCATATCTGCGCGCATGCTGGCCAAATGTTAAGCACACCCGCTCACGCGCATGGTGTCATAAGTGCACAAATGCTGGCACATGATAAGCACAGCCGCTCACGCGCATCGTGTCATAAGTGCACACATGTGGCAGATGATAAGCACAGCCGCTCACGCGCATCGTGTCATAAAAGCGCACATGCTGGCACATGATAAGCACATCCGCTCACGCACATCGCGTTATAAGTGCACACATGCTGGCACATGATAAGCACACCCGCTCATCATGTCAGAAGTGCACACATGCTGGCACAGGATAAGCACACCCGCTCAAGCGCATCATGTTATATCTGCGCGCATGCTGGCCAAATGTTAAGCACACCCGCTCACGCGCATGGTGTCATAAGTGCACAAATGCTGGCACATGATAAGCACACCCGCTCATGGTGTCATAAGTGCACACATGCTGGCACATGATAAGCACACCCGCTCACGCGCATCGCGTCATAAGTGCACACATGCTGGCACATGATAAGCACACCCGCTCATCATGTCAGAAGTGCACACATGCTGGCACTGATAAGCACACCCGCTCAAGCGCATCATGTTATATCTGCGCGCATGCTGGCCAAATGTTAAGCACACCCGCTCACGCGCATGGTGTCATAAGTGCACAAATGCTGGCACATGATAAGCACTGACGCTCACGCGCATCGTGTCATAAGTGCACACATGTGGCAGATGATAAGCACAGCCGCTCACGCGCATCGTGTCATATCTGCGCGCAAACAGGTCCGAAAACTGTTCGACGTTTGAGGAGGGGATGCTAAACGTTTGTTTCGCCTAGGCGAAATACTTCTTTTTGGGAATCTGCCCTGCGAAAACCCATATAACATGCATTTTGCTGAATCATTGGCTGCGAGAGAGAACGTGGCAGGCGTGGGGGACGGGCGATGTCGGTCGATATTCTTGTGTTGTGGTTTCGCTTGCCTTCCACGGCGGCGAGGCGTTCCACCACCCTTGTTTTTCTGTAACCCCAAGCCTGCGTTGATTTTGACAAAGTCACCCGTAAATTTCGAAGTGTCCAACCCCAAACCTGGTTTTTTGTTGGCCTCCTTTTGGCCTCTTGGGAAGGAAGCCCCAACAAAAACGTCAACCAGGTTTACTCAACAGGGTGAGGCCAAGCAATTTGAACATGTTAACACTCATTTAAACTTTGCGCCACTAACTAAGGCAATGGTCCAACGTGCACCTTGGCCCGACGAGATGCAGAGCAAGAAAGTTGGCGGCGAGGCTTGCTTTTGCGCCAATGGGAAACAAGGGCCCCTGAAACCTTGCTCGTCACGCCTGGGGTTCTCGGAGAACCATATCTTTAGATTCAGTTTCGCCAGCCTTACATGGATTTGGAGACTTTCAAGGAGCCGGAACCCCAATTTTATTCGGGGCCAGCGGGCGGCCTGGCAACCACTAGTTGCTACCCAGATCATGTGGGTGCTGCCTGTCCATCTGATGGCTCTCTGGTTGCAGGATCGCGAATGGCACCAATCCAAAAGGAGTCCACATCTAAAAAAACTCTTGCCTTTTAGCTGGTGAACATAAGTGCACATGCCACCAAACAAGTGCCCAGTGACCTGGTCAGGGGCACCATTCTTTTGGGTTGTCTGCAGCAAGCCATGCCAAAACTGGAAAAGTGTGCCTGAAGACACGGGCGTGTCTCTTTTTAGGGGACCCCCTTCCAAAAGTTGGTTTCCTTTCGGTTTCTTTTTGGAACCAATCCTTTACAGGGTCCACATGGGAGGTTTCAAGGTGAAACCACACCATCCGGACCCACAGTCCCTCTTGAGTCCGCGACAGGTTTGGCAGCGTCTTCCCACCTTCGCACGAGCAACTGGGAAGCAAAGCAAATGGGGTCGGAACCCACCCCGGGGTGAAGCCTAGCCCCCGCTGCATTGCTCCTTTTCCGCCTTCCATGGCTTAGTCTCAAGGACGGCTAGGAAAACCAGTGGAATCGAATCGCTTTGAGGTGGGGCTCTTTCGCAGAGGCAAACGCTGGTGACGCCTAATGCGGCGTGGTTGAATCCCTAAGTATCGCAACTGGGGAGAGCAGGGAACAAGGGAAACTCCTGTGTTGCAGCCTTGCCGTGCTTTCTTCGTCGTCGTTCACATGCAATGGTTGGGGGAATCCGTTGCTGCCCGGGCAAGGGAGGTGCTGCATCCAGCCGGCGTTCCCCACTACCCCAGCCCACAAGCTATGGAAGGCTATGGGACCCCAAGCGTTCCTCCGAAGGGTACATGGGCAGCGACGAATTGTGACCCTCTCCAGGCCATGCTTCTCCCTCTTCCATCCCGAATTGCCACTTGCCTCGCCGATGATGCGACGAAAAGCTCCAGGTATGTTCGAAACTGTAAGGCCCGGATATCTCCAACCCCCGCCTAGAAACAACGTGGGGCGCTTTGCATGCATGCTTCCCCTTGGAAGGAGCCACGAACTGAGCACGGCACGACTCATTTGGGGGGTGAGGATGTCTGGTGCAACCATGTCCCACAAACCGGCGTTCATTTGAAAAATTGGCACACGGAATTGTCATTCCCCACCGCAACAAGCTACATGGTCAAACATTTGGAACACCCCCAAACACATTGCGTTCCTTTGCTTTCTCTTTAGCTACCCCCAAAAAAGCCCCAACTCTGAAAACACACACGGGCAAATGATGTCTCAAAACAGGGGGGGGGGGCAAAAGTTGTGGTTGTCCTTTCGGCTTCGACCTGAAAGCCAACCTGTAAAGGGACAAAATTAATTGCCCGTTTGACTCCGGCGCCGTTTCGGGGTCCTGGAAGACGATTTTCCTTTACAAAAAGACCCTCCGGTGGGTTTCATGTTACTGGGCTGCCCTCAAATCCCCTGCTAGAATGTTGTTGAAACCCATTCAAAACCCGACTAAAAAGCTAACATGGAAACTACCACTAAACACTAAAAAGCTAAAAGGCTAAAAGGATGGCTGGGAGCCACCAAGATTACTGGACAGGAGAGTACCAACCACAAACCAAGCCGACAGGCCATCGCTTGAGGCCACGGCGATGCACTGCTGGCTTCCTGAAGGCACCTGAGGAGATGTCTGCCGCAACTGCCGCAACTCAACTCACTTCCCATGTGGGTTGAGTCCAGGAACAAGGGGCAAGGGGGCCGAAACAAGGAGCTCCATACAGCTCCTTGTTTGTCGCCTTTGGCTGGCAAAGGCGAAAAATGCAAATGCTGGCAACCGTGTGCAAGTGACCAGAGCGCGATACAAAACTGATTCCGAGAAACGAACCTTGTGGGCTGTTCAAAATGGAGTTGGCCAATCCTAATCCCACAACATCTACAAAGGGGACCCCTTTCGTAACTCAAGGTAAGGATTAAGGGCTTCAGGAATAACTCGCTTGACTCCAGAACTGCGTGAGCTCGCCATGAAAAAAGACAACAGAAAGACAGTACCGGGCGCCGTCACCCACCAAAAGGACCCTCCGCTTGAAGTGGCAACCAAAAGGCGATGTCTAAAAAACCATACGGGAAGTTGGGTGGCTCGTCTTTTGGGAGGCTACCCTTGTTGGGGGGTGGCTCGTCTTACGCGGGAAAACCAGAAGGAAGACTGAAGCCCTTTGGAGGCTCCGAATCCTAACAACAGGATTCGAGGCACCATGGGGAAGCGACTCTGCAGCTTGGGCTCGGGCTGGGGCCCGAAGACTCAGTCATCTGCCTACCGAGAAACAAACCCCACTCGCCAAGGAAGAGGGTGGTATATCCGTACACGTATCGTTGAATGAATGGCAATGAGATGTGCATGTATAATAATGGTAGTACAAAACTATCATATTAATGTACCACTATGGTGTGCATGTGTTGTTTTTCCTGACTTCACATAACCAAACCGCCACCTGTAGTGACATGAATCCGTGGTTGTTACAACAGTCGAGCACCTCAAAAGCAAAGCGGTTTAGGTGCTCCTTGATCACACCTCCGTTTTGAAAGAAACGACAACACGCCTGCTGTTGGTGTCTTAGATAGGCTAAAGGCATGACAAACAGCAAGTCGCCAGAATTTGATCTAGCATGAGCCGTACGGGCTACGGTCAAATCCTGCGGTGACCGCGATGGACATGGGAAGCTAACCCCCCCGTCATTTGTGGGATATTCAGTGGGTTGGGACTGGGAAGTTGCCATACTGCACCATGATTCTGCAGCGTGAAGTGCCGCTGGCTCCACAAGAGCCGGTCGGTCCAGTGGGTTTCCACATGCCGGTTTCCAAATGATCTGGCCACTCGCGTGCCTGGACTTGCACGCGCAGGGGTTCGCCACGGTACACCCCCTGCAAGTCAACGTGGAAAGAACTTGGGGGCTGGAAACAAAGGAGCCAACAATCCCCTTCTGGCTTCTTTTAATACGCAATCCACGTGACGGGGCAGATAAACTTCCTTACAGTGTCTTTAAGGGCATGGTTGCGGGGAAGTGTGATGCCAACGTGGATCATTCTAATAAGTATTTTGTCCCTTCAACCGGGGGGGGTCCTTGGGCTCACAGAAAGTCGGGGCAAGACCACCTTTCCCACAACGGTGTTTAAGGGACCGAGCCGCAACTGCGAAGGAAAGACGTGGTCTGGGGCCAGCGCAGACGTGCCATGCCCTCGCTCTTCGCAGCCATGACCTCCCCCTGCGACACGCCCTGCGCACATACTGTGGATGGACGAATCCCTGCACCGTTTAGAAACCCTGGAACGATGGCCCCCTTGTAAATACCAACAAACAAGGGTTTCCCATGGTTTCTTAGGTGGTGCAGGATTTCGTCCATCCACAGTAGTTTCGCCTGTTTGCTGGCTGGTGGGAAACACCCCGAAACTTCAAGGTTGAAGATCTGAACTGCCGAGTCCCCAACAAGCAAAATCCATCACAGTTTAGACAGTTCAGTCGGACAATGTGGCTTTTCATATGGCCAACATGATGGCACCACACCATGTCCCCAGCTGTTTACCTGGGAGCCTAGCAGACGAGATTGGACAAAGAGTGCCGGCCATGTATGCCTTGTGCACGAAGCCGCATGGCAACTGCTCACACGGATCGAGGACTGTGAAACCAATATGTCTTGCCGCATTGAGGGCTTTTCCCGCGCCACAGAAACAGGTGGCGGTTCTTTGCTCAACCCCGACACTAGGATTTCGTTCTTTTTTCACTGCCAGCAAACTTTGAATCATGTTCGTGCTGCAGATTGACAATCATTGCGCAAATAACTGCTTTTTCAAGCATATGCTTCACGCATGCACATTTACCGGTCACACTAGAGGCAGGATACTTGTGGTGGCGTTATGCAACTGCCGTTTTGCAGGTGCATCATTCGCCTCACACCTCGCAGGTTTGTCTATTTGATCACTCGCGCAACACACATCTCATCATGAGTGCCGCTGCTGACTCCTTTCGCATTTGCATTTGCAAATTTGAAGTCTGAATAGGGACACTCGACTCAACAATGTCACAATGTCACCAGGCCAGCAATGAGCTCCGCTATAAAGAAGGTCAGCCGGCAAAACCTCTGCTTCTAATATTCACAAAAGCGGGCAGTAGGATTTGATGCGCTGAGCGGGCAGTGACACACACGCACACACACACACACAAACACACTTCCCATGCCACAGCACGTCCCTCTCTAAGGGTCATTGTCTTTAAATGGGCGAGCTTCAAAGAGCTAAGTACACACACGCAGAACCGTAGAAGAGAAAAAGAAGAAGAAGAAAAAACGAAACCCTCTTGGGAGTTGACTCTCTTTTTTTCCACATTTGAACCTACCCAGCCAAAAGGCAACAAACGTGGAGCCGACTGACTAAAAGCAGGGCTCCTGGTGGCTCGGCGACCTCGGCGACCTCGGCTCCTCGGGGTGGAGCGTTCCGTTTCTCTGTTGGCCGTGGCCTCAAATGACGTGATGGAGCAACACATTCACGGGGACTCAAGGGGAAACAAGCAGAAAGTCCCGGTGGGGCACATCCAAAAACCCTTCGGTTTTTTTTTGGGGTAACTTCCATTTCCATTCTTTCCAGGGATCCTTAGCAAACCGCCCAAACACCCTGGGGAATGGCAGGTTTTTGAAAAGAATGACTGAAAAGAATGGGGAAACAACCCCTAGAAATATGGGTGGTTCGTCCAGGGAAGAAGACACCCTTCTTTCTGTGGCTTTAAAGGAGAACCGAACCACCATCAAATTTGGAGGTCCCAGATGAGGTCCCCTAAAAAAAGGCACACCCATATGCACAGCAACCATTTGGCTGGGTTGTTCAGAATGGGGGCTGCACTAATTATTCCTAATCCGTAGTCTGTGGGACACCACTGCAGCAAGGGGAAGCACTGCGATCTGGCATTTGGATCCAGGATTGATGTTGCAAAACTCATATACGAAGATATTGAACAACACAGATGAAAAACACAGTTTGGTACATGCCGCTGTTGAAGGAGACACCCAGATATGAGATGTGGAAGCTCTCCTCCAAACTTGCGTAGGCTGCTGTCTCTCTCTCTCTCTCTTTCTCTCTGCGCGAATCATCAAGTCACTCCATCAGTGTCAGGGGGTGGAGGTTTGAGCTGAAGAGGAGCCCTCTGATGAATGGGGATCAGGTTGTCAAAACGCGGCGGCTTAACTTTACAACCCGTAGTATGGGCTGGCAAAGATCTTCGTGCTTTTCGCAGCGAAAAAATGATCAGAAACACAAAACAAACACTTGCCAACAACAGTGAAATTAAACATTGATTGCCCAACCCTGATGGGAGGGGCAATCATTGTTGGGCGCGGACCCTTCACTGTGGGTGGCTTTTCGCAAACCATGGATCTCTCAATTGCTTAGCCTCAGGTCAAGTAGAACATGTTCTTTGAAGGTACTCCAGATCCAGTATTTTTCCACCATTATTTTGCGCAAAACCAGACGTTTTCTCAAGCTTTTGCTTTTTCTGGTAGGAAGGATCCCTCAAAAACAAAAGGGAAGTCACCCCTAGAATGGCACAGACCCTGTAGACCCTTCGTGGATGCTCAGGTCCCCATGTTTGGGCTTGCCGCCTCAACCAAATCAAGCAAGCCACGGGGCCCCCTACTGGAATCCACCCGCCACTGGGCTTGTTCGTCTTTTGCGGGGGGGTGGGCAGCAAATGGAACCCTGCTGCTCTCTCTGTCTCTCTGTCTCTCTCTCGCCTGCACTGGCTCGCTACCTGAAAGGCATCGAAGCCCAAATAAGCCACGGTCAATATATGAGGTTCCCGCAACGGACATGGGGAAATGAGTGAGAGACCTTTGGAACGAACTATCCGAACATGGAGTGCAACCAAGTCTTGAAAGCTTGGGCGTCATTCCCGCGCCTACAGCACGCTCACAGCCTGGATGCACATCCCAATGCAACGACAGTGGCGAATTCAAAGCGACCAGTGCCGTGCTGGTCGCTTTTCAAAGGGAAAGACTCAGTTGGAGGTGCGCCTCTCGTCCCTTCCAGGAGCCACACCCTACAAATCGAAGGGTCCAATGGTGGTGAAATGGAAATTCACCCAAAGAGTAATTAATTGGGTCAGAACCCCGAAAGCAGTCGAACCCAGTACAATTGGTCCTTGTGCGAACTGATTGCTATTCACCACCATGGGTTGCTTGTGTTCCCCAACTGCCCCCGGCCATTCCAAAATCCGAGCCTTTGAAGACCAATCCCTGCCCCAAGCTGACAATGTGGGCAATAGAACCTGAAACAAAAAAACAAAACAAGAGAGTCCATTTGGTCACCCAGGGTACTTAAAAGCCAGGACACAAATACTTCAAGGACACCGCGAGATAAACCGAGATCCAAAGGCCGCTGGGTTGGCCTCAGGCCTGCAAGACTTTCCCGCTGAACATTTGGGTTGGCCCAAGGGGCCTTCTGCAACACATGTACGCTGCTTTCGTGGGCACATCGCCGTGTTCCAAAGGCTGGATCACCCCAAGAAACTGGAAAGCGCCCAAGCTCCAGAGCCACACACAGCCTCACCAAAGGTTCAAAGCAACCAGGAAACTGGACACCTAACGCTCAGTTGCCCCGGACGGGAGCCAAACATACAAGGTGCTCACGTTTCTGAGTTGCCGCATGGGTGTGTCTTGTTTTAGGAGAACCGTTGTTGGTGGGCTGAAAGGGATGGCCTTGTTGGGATGCTCTGACTAAAAATGGGAACCCAACAAGTTGCCAACCAAAAGCTCGTTCCAACCCGCCCGGCTTGGGCTCCCGGCCCAAACGCGCCAGCGCCTATTTGGAGTTCCGGGACTCCCGAAGGGGAAACAAGCAGAAAGTCCTGGTGGGGCACATCCAAAAGCCTTTCTTGCTCAAGGAATTGAATCCCCCCAAACAAGCAGGTAGAAGTAATTTGTTGGCTGACCCAAGTAGGCGCTTTGAAGGGCCCTGTTCACTGAGTTGTTCAAAAGGGGCTATTTTGTGGTCCCCGTAGGCCAGAGACGACGCTTTGGCGGAACAAGGCCGCCATGCGAAATGGACTTTTCGGCTGCAACTTGCCCCAAGTCACAGCTGCGCAGCACGGGTGATCATGATTAAGAAACGAGTTTCCTCAAAAGAACATTGACAAACTACACACACACACAGGTGTCATGAAGCTGGCAGCATGGAAGAATTGAAGACTACACAGCAAATTCAGGTGTGAGCCTGAGCAAACTAAAATCTCAGGGAATTAAGAGTTCAAGGGTCAAATTGTGACACCTACGGACCGAAAACAGGAAAAGGTTGCGCCAAACAACTGGGTTACGTGGAAACTATAGGGCCCACCAAGGGGGTCAATCTCCCACAAAGGGGGTCAAAGGAACAAAAACATGTAGTCCATTTGGTAGGGGAAGCCTCCCAACCAAAAAAAAGGGTGAGAAAGGGCACCTAGCTGCGGGACCCAGCTTTAAAACAGCTCCCACCCGTTTCACGGGGTGTCCCCCCAGCCGCCGCTTCCGCCGCTTCCGCCGCGTCCACCCGCCGCTTCCTTCCGCGCCTGGCCGAGGCGCCGCACGGCGTCCAGCCGCGCCCGCGGCAGTAGATGCTCCGCGCAGATCTTACACAGCGCCTGGCACCCCGGCCGGGCACGGGAAGGCGCGCTGAGCGCGCTTCTGGGCAGTGCTCGAAGGGGCTCGTCTTGGTCAACTTATAAGGGCACTCCAAAAAAAGGAAGTCCTTCTCGCTTTCCTTTGAGGAATGATAATAATAATAATCACCTGGTATGTGATTCAACAAACACTTCGTTGGCTTTTGCGGCCCCCGCTCAACATGAACAAACCGAAAACAGGCAGCAACTGTTGAAGAACTCCTAACACACGCGCCAAAAACCGTGAAGCAAGCCTGAGAATAGGCGTCTCGTGTGAAAGGCTGGACGGATTGTACTGGTAAATGATGCCGAACTGAGTGCCATCTGTGCTAACGCAAAGGACATGTGTGAAATCAAGAGTGCCGCCAGGCAACATAACTAGCAAACAGACATGGACATGACATACAAACATTTGAGTCGCACGAGGGCACTCCTGCACTGAAAGCAGGGCATCTGTAGGGCAAACTCAGCCCAGCATCATCACCACCAAACGACTGCATCAATTTGGTTGAGGTTCAGTGCTCCCCCTTTTTCCCAATGCAGTGCAACAACACATCTTGAGCAAATGGGACTTTATGCCTGGTGCTTGCTCCAAATCTCTCCTTCATCCCTTCAGCCAGCCTGAAAGTCCCGTTGCATCACCCGGCGCAAGCGAGGGAGGACTGAAAGCAGCTCCTCAAGCAGCCCCCAACATGCGCACACACACAAACACAACACTCCTATGACAAAGGAACGGTCGATTCCATACCTTCAGCTGCCCAAAGCATACCGCGTCGCTCTTGCGGCAAATGGCGTTGCCGCCCCCAAGCTCCAACCCGAGCAATCTCAAAACAAGTTGAAGCAACCGCCACATCCCATGCCCAAAGGCACAGGGAACAGAAGGATTCGGCATCAAGCCTGGACGCAAACGATGCGAAGCAAAAGGGAAAACTAACCAACGACAAGCCATGCTGTCCCAGTCGGCCACCGTAAAAAGGGTAAGCAAGTCTTCCATTTTGGATTCGGGAGCTTGCATAGAATCCCTATTTATCTGCAAAGGACCTGAAAAAACAAAAGTTAACCTTTGGGCACCTCTGCTAAAAATGGCTGCCAAAATGGGAAAACTAAAAGGTCAGATCCGGTCGATTCGCTTTGGTTGCAGCTGAGTGTACCCAAATGCCGAGCCACCCTTGGTTGCTGTTGACCCCCCTGCAAAAAGCTTAGCTCTTTGGGGGTTTAGTGGAAAACCCCTTGATTTCAATTTCAACCAAAAAGTTAGCGTCTAAAGATCCGACCCAATAGCAGTCGAGAACCTTCTCGGCAGAAGGTGAAGGTCACCCAAACCCCCCTCCTGCCAGGCCATGGAGCCGCCTGCCGACGCATCAAGCCATGTGCTCGAAGGGGGCTGCTGGTTGTGAAATCCATTTCGCACCTACGAAACCCTGGTCTGATTCGATACCCCTGAAAATACTGTGGATGGACGAAATCCGTTTCACACTTTGAAACCATGATGAAGCCACTAATTTGTTGTTATTTACGTTGGGGAATCGAATCGTGCTAGGGTTTCTCAGGTGGTGCGACAGATTTCCCAGGGTTCCACATGCTGCAAAGTGCAGGATTTCGTCCATCCACAGTCCAGTCCGGGGAAATATAAAACACCTTCTGGGCTAATTAGATCACAGGACTTGGACGAAATCCGTTCGCACCATCTGGGGATGGATCGAACAATGGGGCAAGCCACCTATCAACTTGCGGGATGCCCGTATCGTTAGGACATCCCGTGCATATTATGCAAAATCGCCGAAGTCGGGAGATCTCGGACCGAAGTGGGACATATTCCTCGGGAGTTCGCCAAGGCTTTTGTTCTTCTGGCAACAGGTGAGCCTAAAGCAAAGCTGCCAGGAACAGCACGCCGCTGATAAACCGGACCTGCAAAAAAGACAACCGTTTGCTGCTCAAAAGCAGAAAAGGTCGGACACCTAAAGTTGGCAAAAAGGTAAGTTGAGTCGGGCGATGCTAGGAAGTCTCGGTTGCTTTCTGCTCCCTTGCAAGAAGCTTTACTTTTAGTGTTTTAATGGAAAACTCATCAGTTGGGAAAAAGTTAACGTCCTAACATCCCAGCAAAATGCACCAAAGAAAAAACTGCGCAGTGATTTGTTGAGCGATGACCAGCAAAGCCACACGTGATGTACGTAAGTCCTTTTGTTTGTGCGTGTGTGTGTTGTTAGGGTGCCGGGCCCTTTTGTTGGGGAGCCCGCCTTTCCCATGCCCATTGGGGTACACCCAAAACTGAGATTTCCCCATTTGTCTGATTCGGTTGCATATGTAGCCTACCCAAAAGCAGCATTCTGGAGAAAACCCATGCTTCCTGACATGCAGGAAGCCCCAAACCCCATCCATTGGCATGCTAAAAAAACCGACCACTTCGCCTCACGCCATGCCCGAAGGCCCGCCTTCGGGGCTTCGGGCGGTGTGCAACCCCGCGCCGTCCGAGCAGGAGGCCGCGGCCGTGGCCTGGCGGGGAGGGCAAGTGAAGATCCCAAGGAAGGATCCGATACAAATTGGTACGTGCGGGGGCACCTGCAAAACGGGGCGCTTGCCTGTGGTTTCTCTTTAAAACCCGAAATGGGTTCCACCCCCCTCGCAAAAAAAAAGAAGAAGGACGACATGATATCCAAAAGGTCTAAGAGGGAGTTTTGGAGAAACATGGGGTAGAAGTTGTTTCAAAGGCAGACCAACAGGAGGCTGCTTTGAACATACAGTGCGTGCACAAGAGGGTTTCATCCATCTGGTGCAGGATTTTGTCCATCCACTAGTACCTCAAAGATGTTGAAGCAGTAAGTCCAACCCTGGCACCTAAGAGCAGTGCCATATCCCGGGCCCTCTAGATAAACGCTGAACGCCAAGCAGCAAGATGCGGCTTTAAGGACCCAATTGAGGCCAATGGAACCCAGCTATGTCCAACCAAACTCGCCTCCAAGCATCTGTTTTTGCAGCAAACAGCTTCTAGGTCCTCCAGTAGAGAGGTTAGAATAAGCGTATTATGTTTTCTGTAGTCTATTTTAGTAGGGGAAACCTCCCCCAAAAGACTTGGTAAAGGGGCACTACCGGGGGAACTAGGCTTAATTGAAAAGGAAAAAAAACTCGAATCTCCCCAAAAAGGTAAGCAACACTGTTGAAGCCTGCTCTGCTCTCATGTTCCTGCCTCAGCCAGGTTGGTGGCCATGTGGCCCTGACAAGCAGCCATGTACTTTTGCCGATGCTGACCGCATTCACTAGTCTCAAGGTTGCTATTCCAGAAAATCAATCAAAAGTGGCTAGACGGAAGTAGCACGTGTCTTACTAAGATGTGGTTTTCAAATCAATGATTGACAATCGTAAAGGGTGGCCCCCCCTTCAAGGCTAACCCCCCCGCCCAAAACACACAAAACCCCCTCTGATTGATCCTGGCCCTCTGCAGCCCTTCAAAAAAAAGGAAAGCAGTTGTTTCCTGTTACTTTCCTGTTGCAATCCTTGTGGCCAGACAGGGGTCGACCAAAGAGGACTGGCCGGGTAGGCCAACGCCAGTCAAGGCCTACCCTGGACATACCCTTGCCTGTGCACTGACATAAGCCAAGCAAAGAAGTCGGCACACAGCGTGTAGATATTGAATGGCCTGGAAAACTAACAAACATCAATGGACGCCCGCTTCCATCTACCCCTGCTGTTTGCCCACCCAAGAAACTACCCTGACCCAAATGATTGTCCATATTTAGTGAACGTTACCATGTCAAATCAGTTCAACAGAATTATACCGGGTGCTAACTACGCGAATAGGGGGTCAGGGAAAAGAAGAACATCCACATCCCTTGATGGTTTCTTTTTTGGGTGAATCAAACATCGCGGGACATTTAGCACCCGCTCGATTGTTTGATCTGAACATACAGTCGTGGTCTCAGCTTTGGAGACAGGCCGAAAGCCTCGCTTGGCCAATTTCGAAAACACTCCGGGTGAGACGGGTGGGGCGAATTCCGGGCCTGCCTTGGCCAGCCATGCCTCCGTACAGCAACTTCCAGCGAAAGAACTTCCGCCAGGAAACTTTCCAGCCAGTCCTCCAGCCAGTCATCCAGCTAGTTAGGCAGTCCGTTGGCTTCCTTGTTGCTTCCCTTTAACCGCCTCAACAGAAAAAACCCTTAGGTGCCAAGGCCGGCCGGAACCGAGGCGCGAGGAGTCAAACGAGTCAAGCGCCTCTGGTGGGCAGCTGACTGACCTTTCCTAGGTCCTCCAGTAGAGAGGTTCGCCTAAGGGTACCGACTTTTTTTCAGTTTTGTCTATTTGAGCAGGGGAACTCTTCCAAACCTGGGTAGGGTACCCAAAAATCAAGTGACGCAGGTCGGGAGCTCATGTGTCCATAGGTGGCCTTATAGAAAAATAGTTGCCCCGGTAAATGGAATAATTCACCCCGGCGCCCTCTATTTTTTCAACAACCAAAAACCTGGGTATGGCACCCAAAAAAATCAAGTGGCGCAGGTCGGGAGCTCATGGGTCCGCTGATACATGGTTGGAGGGGGTTCCCGTCCCGAAGTGTCCAGCGAAAGGAGCAAGGCCAGACACTTCCAGTTGCCAGTACTTCCCACCCACCGACCGGGAATTTCAAAAGCGCCACTCCTGAAACCTCCAATTGCTAAGCCCCAAAGAATCAAAGAGGCGCAATCTGTTGCAGGAACCTTGAGGGATGTTCTACTGCTCTCTGCGTCTTCACCACTCTCCCGCTCCGGTTGGTGGCTTGTTTTTTTTTCTTCGCGTGCATGGCGGCAAATGGGGTCCGAAACCGTCCTCGAGTCGGACCCCTTCCCCACTGCCACTCCGGGGATCCCTGAAGGGGCACTCCGTTTGAGATTGAGTTGCGCCGTGCCCTTACCTGGGTTGACGTTGGAAGGGGGGATTAGCAGTTGAGTGTGGATTTCCCACTAAACAACAATAACCAAACATGTAAAATGCTTCCCAACAACAACCATGTTACCATCTGGTGCACATACCTGGAATGACCTCAGCCCAATGCTAGTGATGCTTTCTGACAAGAATCGTGCAAACAAAAAGTGACAGTCCAGGGCAATCACCGGCTCTTGGCTGATTTCCATCCATATTGAAGTGTCTGCAGATGAGGGAACCCGCCCCGTTTTGGGCCGGGTTTTACTTTCTTTCCCTGATAACCTTCCTTTGCCAAACACCAAACAACAATGCGACTCCACAAGTTTTGATACAAAGCCAAGATGATACAAAGCCAAAACAGCGAAAAAGCAAAACAACTAAAACACATGCCAAGAACAATGAAGAAAACACACACCTGGTCGTGGCCACGGGTTCCCCGAATTCTCGCTGGGTTCTAGGACCCGCCGGACCCGGCCGCAGCCGGACCTTTGGTCGCAGCCTGTGGCCAGAACGTGCGACAAGGAACCCAGTGCTGAGACGTGCTGCCTGCAGAGGAAATCAACACCCTAGCGGCCCAAACCGTGGACTCAGTGGAACCATGCCCCTTTGTCTAGGTCCTCCAGATTTGAGAGGTGAGAATAAGGGCACCAACTTTTTTTTCTGTAGTCTAGTTTAGTAGGGGAACCCAGTACTGGGGGACCTCATCAAGGACACTGGGGGTCTACGAACAAAACCCCAAATCGCTGAGGACCCCAGGGGAAAAGGGCACCCTCCCCCAAACAAAGAAACGAAAGGGCACCTAGCTGGACCAATCACGGTTCCCAGTCACGCCAACCCGCAGCAGTTCGCTTCGCCCTCGCCGGGATCTTGGTCCTGCAGGTTCAGGAAGGCCCGGAGGAATTCCTGGCGGGCGCCGGGATGAGCACAGCTCATTCTTTTACCGTCAAAGTCACCCCCGTGTGGTGGGTTTTACCTGGACGCAACCACATGTTCAACTGTTCTGACTTTGACAACCCCCAGAAACAGGTAAAATAATGACCCCAGTAGAGCACAGCTCATTCTATCAGCGTTGGCAACGCTGGATTCTGACGGTGATTTGCGGCAAAAAGACATGGAGTGAACTTGCCCTCGCTCAGGGCCTAGCTGCAGAATCTGATGAACTGATTGGTTCTAGGCGTCTGGAGTTCTTCAGTGACACGGAAAACGGCAACCCTTCTGAGATTGTTTCCAAGCCAAATGAATGTTTTGTAGGCATGATTTAGGTGGGGATTGATGTCCACCAACCACTTGAGTGTGGTATTCTATTAATTAAAACTGGGCTGTCCTCAGATCCGCTGCTAAACAGCCTAACTTTTAGTGGGGTAAATGGAAATCCCCACAATATAAACCAACTAAAAACTGTCTTTAAAAAAAGGAAGCGGACGCCTGGGAACCGCCGAGAAAGATCCTAGCCAACCGCTTTCAAGTGGGATTCTATCGCCCGCGCCTGATCGTCCTCAGTGCCCTCCGGACACTGAGCGAGCAAGCTTGGCTCAATGGGAATCTTCTTCTTGCCTCACAGGCGCAAGCAGGGGGAGTTGCAGTGACCCCAGGAAGAATTGGACACCCTGGTTTGGGGGTTGATTCCGCCTGATTTCTGAAGCCAAACACTCAAACCCAGGTTTCTGGTCATCAGCCCTGTCAAAGGACACTGCAAGTAATTAGACAAGCACCCTCATTCTCAAGTGTCGGAACATCTGTTCGCCTACGATGTCCTTCCAGAAACTCCTGGTAGCATCCTGGCAGTCCGGCTCCCTTCCAACCAGCTAGTCAGGCCCTAGCTCTCTCAGGGTTGGAATCGGCCAACTCAAGGTCAAACCCTTTACTTTACTCTACAACTCTTGGCCCGGTAGCAACAAACAAAGAACTGTTTTTTTGCAGCCCCGCTGTAAAAATATTCCGAACCAACAAAAATATCAAAAATAAAACAACTTGAGCCAAGAACGGAAGTTTAGTTCGCACCCTCGGGACTTGAATCGGCCAAGTCAATTCGAGGTCAAGCCATTTGGCTGCTCAAAACCAATGGGATCCCATTTTCGGCTACGTGCACCACCAGTCTAGAACCTATTTTAGTGGTTGGATTGGGAGGTTCACTGGGGAAAACGGGCTTTGGATTTTGCCCCATGGCCATTTATTGGTTTCAACCGGCTCGGTCGCCTTCAACGGCCAGCTCGTTGCCGCTGACCTTCACCCCGGAGGTGAAGGTGACGAAGACCTTGCTGCCTGCAAAGGAAACCAACACCCTGTCTCAGTTGTTCAGTGACCCTGGGGAAAAAGGGAACCCTTTTCGAGGAAGACCACTTTTAGTGGCGCAGCCACAAAAAAAAAAAGGGGAGAAAAGGGTGCCACTGAACCACTGAGCTGTCAGTGGACCGATTCCGGAGAGGAAATGCAGCGGGGCATGTGGAACAAACTTCGGACCCATGTTAATTGAGCCAAGGGGGCCACACCGCTTGCCCCACAAAGAAACGTCACAGGGAACTCACCTAAAACGGGAATACAAGGACCCGCGCAGGAGCCGACTGGTGAATCAGTACTTACTAAGGGTAATTATTTGTTTAATTACACCTCCCTGCAGCACAGAGTTCAATGTATTTCCAAAACTCTCACCGCCATGATACGGCTGTGACCGGGCTCAGGGCTGACCTGTTTGGGAAACTGCACTCGCTGCATGTGAAGCAGCATGCAAGCGAGTAACACCCGGAATGCGCCCTGAATACGAGTTGGCTTTATAACCTGAGCCGACCAAACCAAAGGGTCAGTCCTAGGCGTTTCGAGCTCCCAGCTCATGGCTGTTAAGTAATGAAGGCTTAACCCTCCAACCAACGGGACGAGCGTTCATCATCATTCAGCAGCTAGCGCTTTGTCATGTATGGCCACCCAGTTTTCAGCGACTGCCGAATGACAGTCGGCCTTCAACACATCCCAAGCCTGTTCACTGGAGGAATCTCCTTAATCAGGCACCCCCTTGGATTCGATTTGGACGGCGGGGGGCACCTTGGGTTCGGTGTTAACGCGCGATGCCGGCCAAGGGAAGCTCCTATGCGCCAGACCCTCTCGACGAGCAACGCTTGAAGGGGTTTGCGCCGAGCGGGCTGCACTCGAGGTTGCAAAAAAAGCGTGGTTGACTTCTTTTGATGGGGGGTTAATCTTTGTTTAATGCAGTTTCATGTTTTTTCCTTTTTTTTCGTTTGGCAGTGCTTTGCGCTTTCTGTTTTGTTCAACCTCGAAATCGTGTAGCACGCAAAGTACACTTTGGCAGCTCCAGCCAGAGAATCAGAG